ATCTATCTATCTATCTCTATATATCTATCTCTCGCTGTATCTATCTATTTATCTATCTATCTATCTCTATCTCTATATATCTATCTCTCGCTGTATCTATCTATTTATCTATCTATATATATATGAGAGAGAATGAGTGAGGGGGATCTTTGTATATAAAGTTGTAGCCGTTGTCCGTTTGTTATCGAACTCCTCATAGGATTTTGAACATAAACCCCCATAACCAAAAACATTCTTAAACTACATTACCCAGGGTACTTGGATAAGTATATTTCATTTTGATCAAAGGGGGTCTCCGGTGTTTTAGAAACACTGAAAACTTTTTTTCCCTTTGATATATATTAAATTTAAACTTTAACAAGGGAATGACTCCTATCCAAATTCTAGAAGGCAAGAAGACGGAGGTCACATCGGTAAGATCAAAATGAGACAACATGGACGTCAAGTTGAGCAAGACATCACAAATCAGTGGCTAATGCCTTACAGTGTATATTTGTTGCGACAAATCAACTGTCATATCAATGTTGAAATCTACTCATCAATTCATTCAATCAAGTATTGCATCAAATCCATATCAAAAGGTGACAGATCAAGCTGTTTTTGCTTGAACCCCCAAATGAATTGTTTTCACTTTGATTTAAATTAATATAAAGGAATGACGCCTATCCAAAACAGAGGAGAAAGCCAGAAAATGGAAGTCACATCGACAAGATCATTGAGTAATATTAAAATGCGTCATTTTTCTCCACAAATTATAATTATTTAAAATCAATCATCATCTCTTACAAAAAATGTGACGCGCATCAATGACACAAGAGCAAGACTAATCCAACCAGATAACTGAAATTTTTTATAAGATCAGTTATCTGTTTGGATTAGTCTTGCTCTTGTGTCCATCGTCTTTTTCATGTTGAATTGAATATAGTATAATGTTAATTATGTTTTATGAATATGTCCTGAAGATGGTCTATTAGACCGAAACGTCCGACGTTGACATTATATTAACATTAAAACAGCATAATTGCGTATTAGGATTTTTGTTTGTTTTTCCGTATATTTTTCTTCATATATATATATATATATATATATATATATATATATATATATATATAGAGAGAGAGAGAGAGAGAGATAAGAAAGAGACACAGAGACGCACTAAGACACACACACACACACACACACACACAGAAAAACGAACACTACTAATACAATGATATGTTAATTATATCAATGGCTAAAATATAAAAGCTTTGTAAAATGAATGAAAGAGCCTAAGTTTACTATCGGACATCAAAAATCTAAAATTTGGGAATCTCGATATATTTAACGTTCCAACCTGTGTTCGTTATATTTGTATTTCCACTATATACGATTATATTTAAATTCTATCAAAGATTTGTGTGGGATTCTTTCTCCGAACCACAACGCCTCATTTTCAGTTCATGTTCTCATTCACCCACCTCATATAATATATATATATATATAAGCAAATATATGGATATGCTGTATTAATGTTAATATAAAGTTGACGTCTTGGTCTATTTAAGACCATCTTCATGGACATTTTCATTTAAACATAATTAACATTAGAACTTATAAAAATTTAACACAAAAAATGGACGAGCACAACTAATCCAAACAGATAACTGAAATTTTTAATAAGATCAAACGTTTAAAGATAACTGAAATTTTATATAAGATAGCGTTATATATAAATAACATATATATACGTGATCATATTTATAAATATTATATATATATATATATATAAACAAACGTTCGTATGGCGTTTGCCTCCTATCGTAACTGTTCGGGTTTCAATTCTCGGTAGTGGATGCTCACTGCTGATGAGTCCAAAATATAGAACGAAACGGCCGTCCAGTGCTTTCTACATTCTGTTGAGGTTTCTTTTAGACTCGATTAATTAATTATATATATATATATATATATATATATGTGTGTGTGTGTGTGTGTGTGTGTGTTAGTTGTAAATATGCTAAATATATGGAGAAAGAAGGGTCAATATCGAAAATAAGCTGTTGGTAGATATAAACAACACATAGATAGGCATGAAACAGGAGTTATTATTTAGTTTATAACTCCAGATTCAAACGAATCGGATTCATGTCCTATGTGGGGACGTATTCCACAAACTAGAAACGGTGAATCTTGAGTTTTCTCCAAATTGGGGACTGTTAGCAGGATATTTCTATATCTATGGAAGATATATACACAAAGGGAAACGGTGTAACGGACTTGTAAACTAATATTTGCCTTTAGAAGGTTGCCCTGGGCAGGAGTAACATCACGGGCATCTTGACACCAATAAACTTAGTGACTGAATGAATGAATGAATGACCAAAGGGAGATGATTACCTTTTGCATACTTTACGCACATATACATATATATATATATATATATATATATATATATATATATATATATATATACACACGATTCTCTCGCGTACATTCATATCTGCCCTATATATATATATATATATATATATGTGTGTGTGTGTGTGTAAATGCACCAGCGATTGCGGGAATTAAGAAATTAAAACAAAAACGGAACCATTTTTTTTTAAATTCATCTCACTACAAGCAAAGCAATGAAGTACTAAGTCACGTTTACCGAGTGTGCAAGAATGAGGAAAAGAAAAGCACTAATATCGATTGACATTGCATTTAAATATTTGAAGATCAAAGTTGGCTGGAAAGCAAGAACCGGGAGAGAGTCCCAAAAGCGAGAAGTGCGAGAGAAGAAACTCCTAGCATAGGACTTGCGGTCACATTTAACAATTTCAACTGTAAAGTACTTCGCTCGAATTCGTAAATTCGATGATAAAGAAATCAACAGATTAATCCACAAAAGAAAAGAGAAAAGCCTGAAAAAATAAAAAGGCAAGGTAAAAAAGAAAAGAAAAATACCAAAACACCGAAACCTACCTATGCAATAACGCAGTTTCCAATATCTAAATGACTACACACGCTAAAAAGAAAAAAATGTTCAGATCACTACTAGAGTTTCTAGCTACTGCGATCGTCAGGCGACAAAAACACCTGAGATAATGTATAGAATTTTTCTATGATTTCAACCTATGATGCTCCAACAATTTTACACAAAGAGCTGAACAGACTATATGGTTTGATTATATGGTGAAAGCGTGTGCAGAACCAAACACAGGAAGTTGCTGCACATGGGGTGCCTAAAGGTTTCGAAACAACAATGTCAGGTTTTGTAGACGGGTTACGAATCAATACTAAAAGAGCCCAGACTGCCCTATTTAACCGATTTTACTACAGTGAAGAAGAGATGGATTCATATTTCATATACAGAGTGAGTCAAAATTATGTTAACACTAGTATGAGAGGCAGCGCTTACCTCATACCCCATGACCAAAAGTCACAGGGTGTAATTGGCCCATATTTCTTTCCAATTCCAACGGTGACTGCAAATGCTTACTTACAAATTCTGCAAGGGTTTGCCATTGATAACATACTCCCACAAATCCGACAAGCAGTGTATTTCCAACAGGACGGTGCCCAGTCTCGTTTTGCCCGTAATGTTTGCGCATATCTCGATCAAAGTTCCCCAAATGGTTGGATAGGTCACGGCGGACGGTTGGCATGGCCACCACACTACCCTGATCAGACACCCTGGGATTTCTGGTTATGGGGTATGATAAAGGATCACATGGAGATTGTTCAGTAAACTCTGAATAAATGATGCCTCGCTGGCTAGTGTCAACATCATTTCCACTCAGCCTCGCTGGCTAGTGTCAACATCATTTCCACTCAGCCTCGCTGGCTAGTGTCAACATCATTTCCACTCAGCCTGCATATGAATAGACAACAGGAAAATTTGTCTTAGCCGGCGCGTTTCGTTCTCTGAGGGGCTTTATGAAGGCAAATATCTGTTTGCCTTGCTAAAATCCATCAGAGAACGAAACGCGTCGTCTAAGATAAATTTTCCTTTTCGTTTTCATTTATATTGTGCTTTTACAGATGTACTCCATCTGAAAATTTTACACACACACATAAACGAGTGGGTGGTGGAAACTTCTCGGGACAATAGTCTAACTTGACATTTTGGAATTAGTCAGGCTGAGAACATTTCAGCATACCTTCCGATATGCTACATACCTTTTTCATTAATATCCACAACTTATCGGGAAACGTTAGCTTTCCTAATTTGCATGTTATCTAAAATCATAATTTATCACGAAACCCGATTAACTTGCATAACGTTTAAACATTAACTACCAATTTCTTAATTATTGTATCTTATCGTACAAAAGACGACAGGCCATATGAGATACGCCTTCAATCCAGTTAGGCATATTCAGAAAGAATTTTAGCGTAGTTAAGCATGAGAGAATATGATCATTTTCATCTGAATTTCTGGAATGAGGCGTTATTATTTACACTATTGTCCTCATCTTTGTTGTCATTACAACGTTTCGGTCGTTGTGTCCTCCGGCCTTCCTTAGGTGGATATCGATCTGGATAACCTACAGAGAATTCTGAACGGAACCCTTTCATATGATAAAGGAGAGCTTAGAAAATTTAACACACACAGGGCATATTGAGGGCAAGAGAGATAGGAAAGGATTCTGAACTGAACCCATGAGCAGTGAAAGGAGAACAGTCGTAGGAATGTTCTTCCACTGCTCATGTCTCGGCATGTCATCTAGCCCTTATTTTTGTTTACTACTGTTCAGTTATTGTTTGCCTGTTTCCACTGAATGCAAGTACACTCTGCCTGACCCAGAGATTGAACTCATAACCACGATGTCACCAAATTCAAAAACTAACGATTTTATCCACTCGGTCAGCAACAAGCAAAACATGGCAGTAGCAGCAGCTGCAACCTAATCAGCAGCCAGGTTAGGTTTAAGGCTCGAAGTTAACTACCGAAAATTGTCCTTCGGGACAAAGATGAGGACAGTAGTCCAAATATAAACAGTGTACACAGAAAATGTGATATATAAACTATATTAGACTATGACTGACTGAATAAACGAATGACTGAATAAACGAATGACTGAATAAACGAATTTTTGACTGAATAAACGAATGACTGAATAAACGAATGACTGAATAAACGAATGACTGAATAAACGAATGACTGAATAAACGAATGACTGAATAAACGAATGACTGAATAAACGAATGACTGAATAAACGAATGACTGAATAAACGAATGACTGAATAAACGAATGAGAATAAACGAATGACTGAATAAACGAATGACTGAATAAACGAATGACTGAATAAACGAATGACTGAATAAACGAATGACTGAATAAACGAATGACTGAATAAACGAATGACTGAATAAACGAATGACTGAATAAACGAATGATGAATAAACGAATGACTGAATAAACGAATGACTGAATAAACGAATGACTGAATAAACGAATGACTGAATAAACGAAACTGAATAAACGAATGACTGAATAAACGAATGACTGAATAAACGAATGACTGAATAAACGAATGACTGAATAAACGAATGACTGAATAAACGAATGACTGAATAAACGAATGACTGAATAAACGAATCACTGAATAAACGAATGACTGAATAAACGAATGACTGAATAAACGAATGACTGAATAAACGAATGACTGAATAAACGAATGACTGAATAAACGAATGACTGAATAAAAATGACTGAATAAACGAATGACTGAATAAACGAATGACTGAATAAACGAATGACTGAATAAACGAATGACTGAATAAACGAATGACTGAATAAACGAATGACTGAATAAACGAATGACTGAATAAACGAATGACTGAATAAACGAATGACTGAATAAACGAATGACTGAATAAACGAAATGAATAAACGAATGACTGAATAAACGAAACTGAATAAACGAATGACTGAATAAACGAATGACTGAATAAACGAATGACTGAATAAAAATGACTGAATAAACGAATGACTGAATAAACGAATGAAATAAAAATGACTGAATAAACGAATGACTGAAAAAAATGACTGAATAAACGAATGACTGAATGAATGACTGAATAAACGAATGACTGAATAAACGAATGAAATAAAAATGACTGAATAAAAATAAATAAACGAATGACTGAATGAATGAATAAAAATGAAATAAACGAATGACTGAATAAACGAATGAAATAAACGAATGACTGAATGAATGAAATAAAAATGACTGAATAAACGAATGACTGAATAAACGAATGACTGAATAAAAATGACTGAATAAACGAATGACTGAATAAACGAATGACTGAATAAACGAATGACTGAATAAACGAATGACTGAATAAACGAATGACTGAATAAACGAATGACTGAATGAATGACTGAATAAACGAAACTGAATAAACGAATGACTGAATAAATAAATAAATGACTGAATAAATAAATAAATGACTGAATAAATAAATGACTGAATAAATAAATGACTGAATAAATAAATGACTGAATAAATAAATGAATGACTGACTGAATAAATGAATGACTGAATAAACGAATGACTGAATCGAAAAGGAAAAAAAAAGGTTATAAATTTCGTTTCCCCTCTTTCGTATTTTATGTTTAAAACAATTCTCCTCATAGATGAGAAAATAGAAAAATTGTTCTACAGAAGGATACTGAGAATTCCATAGAGAGAACAAAGAAGTCAAAGAAAATGATAACGAAAAGAACACTGATGCTCAAAATCAGGAAAAGAGCTGCAACACCTTGGACACAAGAAAGGAGGGCTTAGAAAATTTAACACACACAGAGCATATTAAGGACAAGAGAGATAGGCGAGAAACTGACGAGTTTATGTAAATGGGTGGGGAGAGACTTAGCAAAAGTAGAAAAGACTGCTAATGACTACCAATAAACGGAAGTTTTGGAGAGCCATGGTCGCCCATGTCCTGCAGGGATGCGGTAAACACTTCAGCTATATGTAGCTAAATAAATACATCATTACCAGTCATGCCCCGATATTTCGCCAGTTGTGATCAACTGTTACCCTTTCAATGGCTCCATATTTTCAACTTCAACGGAATGTCAAAATTCACCCAGACTTCAGCAGGAACTCTCACCACACACACACGTCTGTATATCTTGTTTAGAAAAAACAATTCATACCAAAAAATGGCGATACACGACTTTTCAGATAAAGACTCATATTTTTCAATTGTTCGAGACTAAGACGAAAGGGGCTAATGGGAGTGAAAGACGACCTTACAAAGAACCAGAAATCCAATCCATAGCAGGAAACAATGGATAAACCTCTACTCCTGCTCAAAACATTCGGGAGAAGTGGGGGACCAGATAACATCACTATGTCATATTCCTATCCATACCTACGTGTGTCTGTATATACCGATATCGAATAATCCTTATTTTCTCTGCATTCGAAACACAAGGAAAGGTTCCACCCAGACAGCTTCTTTCTTACCAAGAACTACTACATCTTGTACAAATTAATTGAATCTAAACTAATAATACCGTCATTAGAATGAAACATGACCAAGTGCAGATGTTAGTACTTTGCATGTTCATTTCATGAAGTCGTTTCTTGCAGATTGACCACAGATTCTCGATTGGATTTAAATCAGGAGAGTTTCCGGGCCAGTCTATAGTACTTTGATCTTCTCACTGGTCAGGCTTGCCACTGCGTTCGTGCAGCGTTACAATATTAGCATGCTTCCTTGGAGTAACGTCCATCGCAGCCATAGGACAGCTAATCGACAGTCGAGACAGTAGTGTGAGCGTGATGAAAATCTAGTGCAATCACGGATGACAATATTTTTCAAGGCCAAACATTTTCATCATATGCACCAAAATAGATCCATATTACTGAAAATGGCTTAATCTGAGAAAAAAATAGGAATCGATTACGCCCTGTCACTCCAGTGGGTCCAGAACTGACCGGATGGTGAAAGAAAGGAAACTAAAGCCATTGTTTTAATTAATTTGCACAATGATGTAATTGGTGGAACAGACTTCCACTCGAGTGCTTAAATAAAACCTACACTCTTAATCTTTTCAGATAAAGATTCAATCTTTATCAATCCTCAGTCTTTACTCCGTACTGTCTCCTCTTTCATTCATGTCACAGCATTCCCTACTCCGGCCATTCATATTGAATCACCAAAGTTAAGCAACGTCGAACTTGGTCAGTATCTCGATTGGGTGACCACTTGGAAATACCAAGAGCTGTAAGTTTTGGTTGTGCGCGTAATGGTACGGATTTGATAATCGGAGAGCCAATTCCCGTTGGGTTCCATATATTGTGACTTAAGCGCAAATACCATTGGGAAAGTATTAATCCACCTCTTCTTCCCCTAGCTATGGGTTAATTAGTAAGACTTGTATCATTATCTAAATAAATTTTTTCAAAAATCTAAAGATATTTGTCTTTAAATATTCTGCAAACAAAAGGGTTGATAAGCCATACAAAACTACTACCACAAGTGGCTCTCGGGCCTTCTTTCGGAAAACTTCCGTACGAAAAATTCGAAGTGAATACTGTAAGTATAACATCCGACGCTCATGCAGACACACAATCTCTAATTAGAGTTGACAGCTGCATATAATAAATAGGGTTTGATTGTGAAACCCCATCGCTCCTATATGTTGAACTGATTGTTTGATGGACTCGTGTTACATTCTGATGTAAGATTAACATTTTTTTCATTTCACCCGAAGCAGGGAAGGAATTCCACTGCAGGGGGTTACAGAGTAGAAGTGAAAGTAAAGACTGAGTATAGGGCGGTTGAGAAAAGGATAAAAGAATAAAAGAGATTTAAGAAGATAGAAAATAGTGATTGACGTTGCCTTTAGATTTTTGTACTTAACAGTGAAGTAAATAAACGGAACAGGTTTCCAAAGGTGAGACGTATGAGAAAAGAAACTGTTAGGGTAAAAGTGGCGGTTGCATTTAACTATTTCAACAGTAGACGGTTGGGACCTAAATGCCAATCTAGTAGCACGCTTAAATACGCGTAGTCAAAGCATCAGGGAAACAAAAGCTCGTCAGAACAGTTGCCATGAAAATATTTGTAGAGAACCTCGAGATGAATAGCAGGAGCACCAGACCAAATATGGCGGCAGTATTGAATGCACGTACGAATGATAGATTTATAAATGTGCACGATGAACTGGCCTGAAAAATCTTTTGGCGCGACACAGTGACAACTTTCCTTGCAGTAGATGCAGTTATTGATTTGATGTAGTCGTTCCACTTCAAGTCAGTTGAAAACGTGAAAACAAGAAGGCGCGGTCTGTTGCTCTCCAGTAGTCTAGTATTAGCCACGCTGATGGCGGACAGGAAAGTTTCTCTATGGTGGTTAAATAAGAGTAGTTTCGTTTTGGAGGCATTAAAATTTACAAGCCATTTCCTGCCGCAGATAACTGATTGGAGGTCCTTTTCAAGAACAGCGGCCACGTTAACTTTGTCAGTTCTGACTAATTTGCTATTGCGACAAGAGTAAATGGTAGTGTCATCCACATAAATGCCTACTTGGGAACTGATGATACGAGAAATATCATTGAAGTTTTGAAACAGCGTAGGCCCCATATATTTCCAAACATACAAGTGCATATGTAAGTCCTCTAGATTCCCCTTTCAAGAATAGGCGCCACAGTCTCCATATAATAGGCCAGGGGTCGGTAATCCGTCTCCCGAGCGACATTCGTCCGGCGAAGGATTTTTGTCCGGCTTGTTAATTTAACACCAGGATACTGATTATCTACTTATAGATTCCACATACAGAATTCCTAACACCAATTGAAGCAGAGTATGACGACATTACACATTTTTCATTGTTCGATGGCTTAGCCCAATAAATGCTAGAATGAGTATATGCATTGAGAGAAATGATTGCTATGACTTGGAGAACAAAAAGATAACTCTCACTTTTAAGATCTAGACTGGATACTCAGCTTGGCATTTTAATGGGCAGCTTTCCTTTTTTATGTACCATGTCCCTTCAGGACTTAGGCGATCATGGCTCTCCACTTCTCTGTATCCCTTGTAGCTCTCAATGTTTCGTCTCTCTGCCACCTCCCCCAGACCACGTTCTGTCATGGACTTGATTAAGCCCGCCATGTAGATCACGCGTGGTTTTCCCTTATCTCTCTTTCCCTCTATTCGACCTGTGAGTATCAGATTCTCCAGGCCGTCCTTTCTCATTAGGTGACCCAGAAATTTCTGCCCCTTTCTGATTCAATGTATTTTTCTTTTTGTGCCGTGTCCCTTCAGGACGTAGGCGATCATTGCTCTCCACTTCCTCCCTATCCCTTGTAGCTCTCTATGTTTCGTCCCTCTGCCACCTCCCCCAGACCACGTTCTATCATACACGTTCTTAATCCCCCCCGCCGGTAAGTCATGCATTGCTTTCCCTTTCTCTTATATGATGCAACCTCATTACTTAGCTATTACAAGTATTTCGAAGACCATAAACCTTCCTGGAGCCGAGCCACAAGCTTAACATGCTCTGTTTACGAGCAGCGGCGGGAGCCTTTCTGCTTTTGACTACTGTGTCATTGTCATACAAACAGAATCGGACGAGTGATTAATGTAAATACGTGGTGGCAGTATGTGAGGGACGTATGGTGAATGTATTGTTGTATGAGAATGACTTTTTTTTTCTTAGAAATTTCTTTCCAATATTAAGGTGCGTCTTCCAAACTGCAGCGTCTTGTAAGCCAGAAAATACGGTATTTATTGCCATCATTCAGTCGTATATACCGACCAGTTTTTCATGGGTTTTTCTTGTTTATAGTTAGAGTATATCTGGTTATGGTAAAATTCTTTAAAGCTAATTTTATTTGTCAAGGGTATCATTGTGGAAATTATTATTGATAAGTGCTTTATGTTGCTTTTTTTCTTTTTATGTGCCGTGTTCCTTCAGGATGTAGGCGATCATGGCTCTCCACTTCCTCCTATCCCTTGTACCTCTCAATAAGCCCGTCTCTCTGCACATCCCCCAGACAACGTTCTGGCATCCATTTGGTTAAGCCTGCTAGGTATGTCATGTTTTCCCTCGTCTCTTTTTCCCTCTCTTCGACTTGTGAGTATCAGATTCTCCAGGCCCTCATTTCTCATTACGTGTCCCATAAATTTCATCTGCCTCTTCCTTGTGTTAAGTGCAAACTTTCTCCTTGTTTGCATCCTCATCGTTGCTCGCACGCTCGCTCCATGATATCCTTAGCAACCTTCTGTAGAACCACATTTACGCTGCCTCGAGTCATCTTCATCTTTGAGGAGACCGTCCAACATTCGCTGCTGTATAGGAAGACATGTCACGTAGCAACTCATTACTCTTTTCTTTGCCAACAAAGAAATCCCCCTGTCTCGCAGTACTCTGCCCAGCTTTTGGAATGCATCCTTGACCATTCTAATCCGTCTTCGGGTCTCAGCGTCGCACCTAACGTCCTTCCGTCAAAATACTTCCCAGATATTTAAATTCCGCACCTGCCTGTTTTTAGTGTCCCCGACCTGCAAATCGCATATCAGTTTGAATCTTGAGCTTCAAAGCAAGAACAAGCTGTGAGATTTAGACGAAAATTGGGTGGTAGGAAAATAAATTTCCACACAAATCTGTTCCGTCTGATAGCTAACGTGGAAACCGGAACAATGCTTCGTTCGGGACTTTCTTTCCTGCACACCGTAAACAGCAGTACTGTCCCTTTCCTAACTGGAACACGGGTTTAACCTTCAGTCTCAAAGAACAAAACTGCCCTGAAACAAAAAGTCAGCTCTTTTTATCCTTCCTCGGGCAAGAAACCGAGATCTCTCGTTTGTGTTAGCCTCGTTCTCGCCCATAACGCATGCGCTGTGTCACTTCAACATTGATTTGCCGAACTTCACCTCGCAGGTCTATGATGTCTACAAGCACACATACAGACAATTCGCCTTCTCTTGCTTCGGCGAGGTATGTCTCCACCACACAAGCTTATATTCGAGATGTTTTTGATTAAATTACAACATTTGAACGAAAACTTCGACTGTGGGAATCACAACTTCAGAAAGGAAACCACTCATTTTCCAAATCTCTAAAATCACAATAGAAATATAATTCCTGACATCTTTGTGAGCTCTATTCAGGATTCGAGAAGCGATTTTCCCTCTCGTTTCGTTAATTTCCGGAAATATGGAAATCAATTTAAATTATTTGGAAAATGATATAGAGCTGGAGTTGCTCGACTTACAATGCAACGAATTTTTTAAAAATCAAAGTTTCATTCTGAATCCATTAATGACTTATACAAGAAATATGGGGTGGGATGGATAGGTTGTCTAAATTACGCAAAACTGAAAATAACACTGACAACTTATTTTAACAGAATTTTACCAAAATTTGAAATACTAAAAAGAATAAATTTATTCAATAAAATCCCCACTGGTTTTCACCACAGCCTCCAGACGACTTCAAAATCTCCTGCAGCAGTTCTGGGCGGTCTCCAACAGAGGTGAACAAAAAAAAATGGTTTAATTTGAAATATCACCTGAAGATGTCCAGAACATACAACAGTTGAAACTTTATAAATATAACTATAAAGATGAAGACAACAGTCCAAACAATGTAAATAGTATAAATTGTTTTAAAAGATTCTGCAAGTGATATCAGGGGTTATATACAGGGTGCGATGGATAAATTGACATTTAAATTAAAATGAAATGAAAATAACACTGACATTTCATTTTAACAGATATACAGGGTGCGATGGATGAATTGTCGTCTAAATTATGCAAAAATGAAAATAACACTGACATCTCATTTTAACACATATACAGGGTGCGATGGATAAATAGTCATCTAAATTATGCAAAAATCATCATTTTTAACACAAGGGTGCGATGGATAAATAGTCATCTAAATTATGCAAAAATGAAAACAACACTGACATCTCATTTTGACAGATATACAGGACGGTTTCATTGAAGTTTGTTTTTTTTTTTTATTTAGTTAAATGTAATTTAACAGTTTTTTCACTTGAGGAATTTCCTTCAGGCTCCATGCTTTCCAGCCAACTGTAATGTGCAAAAATTTAAATCCAATGTCACTCAGTAGATACTGTTTCCGTGATTAATCTTCTTTCGGTTCATTATTAATGTTTCCGTTCCTAATTCTTCCACATCCTGTAACACAATTTTTTGAAATATATTTTTTATTACTCCCCACCCTGTACATTAAAATTTTTTTTTTAACACACAAAATATTTAGAAATTGGCAGAGAATATAACGCTTGTCCGAATTATCGAATCAACTCATTTTTCCAACGGACACATTTCCAAGTCATACCTGCATTACTCCTGCTGTTCCAGCAATCTCCAATTTCATCAAAATGGATGTATGGTTGCTATGCGACAGGGACTGAATGTTGCGCTGTAAGATAAGGCGAGGAAGATAACTGGGGTTGGCGGGAGGGGGGTAGCAGAATACGGGTGGAATCTTTATCGGAATAGAAAATTCATCAATACCACGAGGCGAAATACACTAGACCTCTGTCCTTGATTGATCCGATCAGCCCGGTGGAGCCTTTCTCGTTCAATTGATCTTGATCGATCGATTGTAGTTGCTGATTTAATTATTGAAGTGTTTGTATCGGATCTTATATTTGCGACGAACATTCAAATTTTTACAAGCATAATTTTAAAATATGTCACCTAATTTCACCTTTCTGACACCGAAAAGTGAATGTGTTTGCATCGAGGAAAAGAAATTCAACGCATATAGTGTAGTATTATGACGTCATAGATTTGGCCTCAGTTTCACACTACAACGTCAAATGTAAGTCGGGTAAATAATTGATTAGCTAGGTGTTTGAAGACCTACATGGACGAAGCTATATAGTTTCATACACATCCCAGTTTCTTACAAAAATTTGCTGTCTATTCACAAGTTCATTTTTTTGTTTTTACTTGGTCAATTGGCGATGTCTACGACATTCTCTTGTGTTTGTGTAATTGTCAAATAAATATATATAGTTTATGAAAAACTAGGTAATCCTTATGGGTAAACCTAAGGAGGATAAAATCCAGAGAGCTCAATGTAAATTCAGAGCAAATAATTTAAATAAAAACAGACCACTTTAAGGTTCCATGTAATCAATAACACTTTCAAAGTAAAGCAAAATAACAGCGTCTGTTTCTAGCCTTTTTTTACAAAGAAAATTAGTGACTTTCTTCCCTCTTTTTCTCTCTATGGTTTTATTTTCTTCTCTACCCCTTCGATATCAATATATAACTTCCGTTAAGTTAACCGTTTAAATGTGTCAATATCTGCTAACGAACTCATGTCTTCTCTCTCCTCACTTCGTTAATTTACATATGTTTAATAAGGCCCGTCAAAAATGTGTAAATTTTCTTTTCATTTTTTGTTTGGAAGTAAAATCTGATGATCCGCAGTCCTTTAAAAGGACTGTGGTGAAATAATTTATTACATGGAACCTTAAAGTTGTTTGTTTTTATTTAAAAACACACATACACAACACACCAAACTTGTCCGATTGTTAGATTAAGCTTTGAAAGAATCTATAATTACTCCCCAAGCTTAACAGAAGATCGTGATGACATCGATCATAAACGAAAATGACATGTTCATCATTAAACATATCTAAGGATCGGAAACTCATGAAGGATTGAAATTAAGTTTTATATATAATTATTTATTTAAAAATTATAACAAATATGTTATAAAATCACTACAAAAATAGCCATTTTGTTTCAACACCTTCAGTGTCTTATCAAATGATGATGTTGAATGTCGAATAAATGGTTTTAAAGGTTTCAAATTGATTAACGATCCTTAACCAGGGGAAAATGCTGCTACATAAGCTAGAATGACCACTCAAAACACAAGTATACGAGAATTCAAAAAAAACTTGACAACGTAGTAAGGTTATAATAACTATTAAGAGCTTTAAAGTTGGGGTTATACGAAAATAGAATTTATTCTAATCAATAAGTATTAAATTATATGATAAAATTTGATATTAAAAGTAAAAAATTACCAATTTTAAAATCTAAATTTAACCTCTATTAAGTTTAAAATTATAAAATTACTAAAGAGAAAAGAAAAAATACATGTGTTATTCATTTTATTTTTTCATTGAAATTACGTTAGAATAGACGCTAATATCGGCTGGTCTTCCTGACAAAATGTATACATTTTAATTCCAAGTGTGTGAGTGGGGTGCTAACCTCTTGCGTAAAACAATACAAACACGCTCAGATTATAATACATAAGTATTCAGACATATTTAGATGCATTCAGACATATTTAGATACACACACAAAAAGGTAATGAGACAGGAAACATCTCCACGGCCCATTATAAAAAAAAAACCAACATACATACACAAATGTGCATGCATTTTCTATATCCATAGACACCGATAAATACATGTACACACATCCACATACATTGACCTAGACAACCTCTACTTTAAGAATAGTAATTGTTGGTTATTGGAATTTATTCCGTATACACCAATTCTATACTTGGCTATATATATATATATATATATATATATATATATATATATATATATATATATATATATATATATATATTACATAAAAGGATCATTTTCCAACTGATTTAAGATGATCTCGCCCTCTCTAACCTAACATTTTCTCCTGGAGTAACAAGGTGCTTCACACGTTTCACGCACGATTTCATTTTCAAATCTTTTTTCATTGTTCTTTTGACTGGCATACCTGAAACTCCTCTCACATGCCAAACGTCTTATAAACTGAGTTGGATCTTTTCTAATTGATCTCTTTAGCTCTAAGTTGAAATAATGATCCCTCTTCCTGTTGTGAACTCCTGATCCAATTTTCCTCTCCACTATTCCCTTTTTTTAAAACTTATTCACAGTTCTCTTGATGGGTCTTGAATGGATTTTCCTTTCACCATTGTTCATTTGGGAAGACAGTGGGGCTAACAAAAAACGGATGTAGCAGTAATATTCAATCCATGGAGGAATAGTTGACTTATAAACGTATAAGATCTTGTGTGAATAATTGTCTAGCACAACACCGTGAAGCAACTTTGGTAGCAGAAGACTTGGCAGATGATTCAATATAATCTTACTAATAATAATGTCAACAAAAAACGTTAGCGCGAGAAAGCAGAATGTGCCCCCTCTGCTGAAGGTTGGCATCAGCCGGCAGGCAGAAAAAGCTTCTCTTGTCTGCTGGCACTTCATGCTACAGAAGGTGTATATCAGTACGTGATTGGAAACCAGTCGTGTATTAGCTTGCAGCTTCGATTAAAAAAAAAAATAAAATAAAATTAAATGAATAGCTCTAAAGGATGAAAAGGTTGTTGCATCTTCCCAAAGAATCTCAGGAAAAAGGAAAAAACAAAAACAAAAAAAATGTAACTGTTCGTGCTCCGTCACGCGGACTTACTCTTGCTTTCTACGGATGTGCAAAAAAATTAGATTCCAAGAGATATAAGCATCAACCGGCGCCCACATGAAAAGCGTCTTCTGCATTTATTCTTAACGAAATGCATTTCCCTGTTGATAGGCTGACGTCATTACGCACCTAAATAAACACGCAGCACTTTTTTCTTTTCTTTTTTTAATTTAATTACGTGTTTATGCTTATTAGGAAATGGCCAGCAAAATGATCACCCACTCCCTTCTGCTACTTACCGGGGGGGTATCAAACGTTACTTTGTGAAGATACACTTCCTTACTATTACATTAAATCAGTTGGAAAGAATGTATGAGAGAGAGAGGCAAACGTAGAGAGAGAGAGAGGCAAACGAGAGAGAGAGAGAGAGAGGCAAACGTAGAGAGAGAGAGAGAGAGAGAGGCAAACGTAGAGAGAGAGAGAGAGAGAGAGAGGCGTAGAGAGAGAGAGAGAGCAAAGAGAGAGAGAGAGGCAAACGTAGAGAGAGAGAGGAGAGAGAGAGAGAGGCAAAACGTAGAGAGAGAGGCAAAACGGAGAGAGAGAGGCAAAACGTAGAGAGAGAGGCAAAACGTAGAGAGAGAGATAGAGAGAAACAGAAGAGGCAAACGTAGAGAGAGAGAGAGGCAAACGTAGAGAGAGAGAGAGGCAAACGTAGAGAGAGAGAGAGAGCAAACGGAGAGAGAGAGAGAGAGGCAAACGTAGAGAGAGAGAGAGAGGCAAACGTAGAGAGAGAGAGAGGCAAACGTAGAGAGAGAGAGATAGAGAGAAACAGAAGAGGCAAACGTAGAGAGAGAGAAACAGAAGAGGCACAGCGCGCGAGACACACACAAAACAGAGCGAGAGCGAGAGAGACAAACATACAGAGAGCGAGAGAGACAAACATACAGAGAGAGAGAGAGACAAACATACAGAGAGAGAGAGCGAGAGACAAACATACAGAGAGAGAGCGAGAGAGAGAGACAAACATACAGAGAGAGACAAACATACAGAGAGCGAGAGCGAGAGACAAACATACAGAGAGAGAGAGACAAACATACAGAGAGAGAGACAAACATACAGAGAGAGAGAGACAAACATACAGAGAGAGAGAGACAAACATACAGAGAGCGAGAGACAAACATACAGAGAGCGAGAGACAAACATACAGAGAGAGAGACAAACATACAGAGAGAGAGACAAACATACAGAGAGAGAGAGAGAGAGAGACAAACATACAGAGAGCGAGAGACAACATACAGAGAGCGAGAGAGAGAGAGAGACAAACATACAGAGAGCGAGAGAGAGAGACAAACATACAGAGAGAGAGAGAGAGAGAGAGAGAGAGACAAACAACAGAGAGCGAGAGACAAACATACAGAGAGCGAGAGACAAACATACAGAGAGCGAGAGACAAACATACAGAGAGCGAGAGACAAACATACAGAGAGCGAGAGACAAACATACAGAGAGCGAGAGAGAGAGAGAGACAAACATACAGAGAGCGAGAGACAAACATACAGAGAGCGAGAGACAAACATACAGAGAGCGAGAGACAAACATACAGAGAGAGAGAGACAAACATACAGAGAGAGAGACAAACAAACAGAGAGAGAGAGAGAGAGAGACAAAACAGAGAGAGAGAGAGAGAGAGAGACAAACATACAGAGAGCGAGAGAGAGAGAGAGACAAAAATACAGAGAGCGAGAGAGAGAGAGAGACAAACATACAGAGAGCGAGAGAGAGAGAGAGAGAAACATACAGAGAGAGAGAGAGAGAGAGAGACAAACATACAGAGCGAGAGAGAGAGACAAACATACAGAGCGAGAGAGAGAGACAAACATACAGAGAGCGAGAGAGAGAGACAAACATACAGAGAGCGAGAGAGAGAGACAAACATACAGAGAGAGAGAGAGAGAGAGAGAGACAAACATACAGAGAGCGAGAGAGAGAGAGACAAACATACAGAGAGCGAGAGAGAGAGAGACAAACATACAGAGAGCGAGAGAGAGAGAGACAATAAACGTACAGAGAGCGAGCGAGAGAGAGACAATAAAAGTACAGAGAGCGAGAGAGAGACAATAAACGTACAGAGAGCGAGAGAGAGAGAGAGACAATAAACGTACAGAGAGCGAGAGAGAGAGAGAGACAATAAACGTACAGAGAGAGAGAGAGAGAGACAATAAACGTACAGAGAGAGAGAGAGAGAGAGACAATAAACGTACAGAGAGCGAGAGAGAGAGAGACAATAAACGTACAGAGCGAGAGAGAGAGAGTGGCAGACAGAGAGAGCCGCAGGCAGAGACTGTAAATTAAATGTCATAAGACAGTCGTTGTAGTGAACTAAACAGCAATTTGAATTGTGAAAGTTTAAAACCTCCATTTATAAAAAAAAAAAAAAAAAAAAAAAAAAGGCCGTCACCCACGCCTACTTCGATAGAAAAATGAATGTCCACAGATACAAAATATCCCACGTCAATAATTGAACAATTAGTGCACTTTTAATATCAGTTACGCACAATATTTCCTAATGAAGTTAAAAACATGAAAAAACTTAATCACTAATTTCCTTAATCACGGTTTAACTTCATCATCGACTAACACGAGAATGAAATAAAATATTATAATTAAAAAAATAAACTACTCTCCATGATCTGTCTATATTTCTGAGATGAGGTATTATGTACATTATTTACATTATTCGGACTATTGTCTCTCATCTTTGTCGGTATATTACAACGTTTCGGTCGTTGTACGCTCCGGCCTTCTTCAGCACATATGCTAGTCCACAAGCATAGAAATGAATACAATATGGGAACCAGTAATAAGGAGTGCCAGAGAAAAGCGATAACAGAAATTGCAATATGATAAAAAAAAAAAAAAAATGATTGCTGAAGACATTAGATTTAAAATACCCAGACGTTCATATATGTTCTCAAGGATAAAGGCGTTAGTTAGATCCAGTGACAGGACCCAAAGAGTGTGAGTTCAATACCCGGTTAAGGCAGTGGAGAACTTGGAGATGGGAATTAACAGGAGATAATTGATATCCATTAAACATGACACGTGAAACTAGAACAGTCTACCCGAGTGAGCGAAATAAAAGGTTCAGTTCGACATTCCAACCATCTGAAGAAGGCTGGAGCGTACAACAGCCGAAACGTTGTAATAAATTGGCGACAATAGTCCGAATAATGTAAATAGTGTACATAATACCTCATCTCAAATATAGACAGGTATATGTTATTGTTGTATATAAAATATCTTTAAACGTGTTCAATTGTCTCTTTGTCATCTGCTCAACTTGAAGTCGTTAAAAATCCCATACTCTGCGACAGTTCATTACAGTAGGTATTTAGCGACGCTACTTAATTTAACTGCCTTTCTATCCCCACTTCTACGGAAAGTTCTCAGACGAACTACATTCATATGTATTCATTCTAAGTTGAACAAACTGGAGCTATTTCGTTTATATTTTGTTTTTAGATAGCTTTCTTCCAGTCATTTTGATGAGCAATAGCGAAATTCTGAAATTTAGAATGATCTTATTCCCATTTCAAAAATAAAGCATGTAAAATTAATATTTTAAATTAATATACGACCAAAAATGATTTTGACAAAAACCTTAATGATTTCACTGTAATTATTAAATAATAATAATAATAATAATAATAATAATAATATTCTGCTGACAAATCTACGGTTTATGTTACCTCATCTCATTGCATAGTTAAGAACTATAGACTTAAATTGAGCTTGAAATATTGTATAATCGGCTCTAATTTTTTGTAAAATACTTGGATGTAATATGAGTAATTTGCAGTAAAAAAAAAAAAAAAAAAAAATCGATTTTTTGTTGAATACGCCGAACGCGTCAATCAAAATGTCTCGATTTTTTTTATTTATTTATTTTTTTTTTTTGTTTAGCCAAAATTATTTTCCGGTGCTCCATGTTTTTTTGGGGGGAACGGAAGTTATGCGTAGAGCCTCTTTGGTATTTTTCAGTAAAAACTAACTAGCATATGATCTTACAGACTTCCAGCAATTTTCGGCCGGGTTCAGTTGTTTCTTCTTCCTCTTTTGTTTGAGGGTTGCATTATGTTGTTAGTTGCGAGAAGTATAGAAATATATATATATATATATATATATATAAGAGAGAGAGATGCGTTTTAAAGGAAAGCGTAAATGCTTTATTTTAATTCTTTTTACTACATTTTTTTTTTATTTGGTTTTTATCGGTACCCAGGTTTATTAATAAGTAGGCTAGACCAGCTTCTGCAAAGGACTTTTAGCCTTTTACCTTCAGCGTCCCATGTACTTAAGTCATAAGAATTTAGAAAATTTTCTTTTAAAAATCACCATTCTTTATGATCCTTTCTCATAAAGTCACTCTTAAAAGACATTAAGTTTCGAATACGTCACAGTACGTCTACTAGGAATGAAAAACAGATGAGCAACGTACCGTGCCCCGCTTAAGTTTAAATTACGGTTTAATTAGACGATATAAATTTAGACTGCGATGAAAAGCGAAATTAATGTTAGATCTTTAATAATTTTTTTTTTTTTAAACCTTTCACTGTTCCATATTTAAATTTAACTTTATATGAGTTATTTATTCAATTTTTCATCTCGTGTAACTAGATTTGTTACTTCAGGTTGTTGATTCGCAGTATGAAAAAACGAACGGACGGACACACGTACACTGCCCATTATTATTATAGAAGACGCCGTCGTGCCGACTTTAGGCAAGTAAAAAATAATAAATAATTGATGAATATTAATACTTCTATTGTTCTCTTGATTAGCGTTTGAATGAATGCGAACGGGACAGTGAGCGAGAATTTGTATTACGCATGCGCAGCTGTGTTTATTCGATGCACTCGCGTAAGTCCCAAGATATAATATAAAAAAAAAAACTGATGGACACACGTACACTGCGTTTTATTATAGATTACATCATTCTATCTGGTGTAAATTTTTTTTATAGGATGAAGACCTTATCAAAACTTATAATTTGGAAGAAGAATGAATTCACTACGTTTGTTTATCAATAAACCTTCGTAAATTTAACATAGACATTAGTTTTGCTACGCGCTTCATTATTGTATCATGTCTAAAACTTGTTTTAGAGGATCTATGACCTGAGCAATCCACCATGGTAATTTGAAAGAGAAATTTACTTCATTTTGATAAGAGCTTCATTATTCTATATGATCTAAAACTGGTTTTAGAGAATTGGAAAGCTTACTTATCAATCAATCCTCCTACGTAACACATTACGCAGTTTTAATCAACCATTCATCAAGTATTTCACTGACTTGCGCGATGAGAAGAAAAGGGTGACTCACATCTGTACATAAGACCAAAGAGAGTTGCTTTTTAAAATCCTTAGATAAATAGGCCATTTTTAAACCCCAGGGAAGTTGGTGCCACACAGACTTATCTCTTAAAACAATCTGCAAAAAATGTACACACACACACAAATTGTACACAAAAAAAATAAAAAATAAAATAAACAAATAAATTTCTATAATTCTTCTGTGTAGACGTTGCGAAAAAAAAAATCTATACCAATTTACAGACTGTGTGTAGAAACGACATTCCAGGGGTAAAAAAAAAAAAAGCAGATTTCTATTCAAGCAACACGAGTGGAAATCGCTCATGAAAAGTCAAGTTTTCTAAAAAAAAATAAAAAATAAAAAATAAAAAAAATACTGATATTTATTGAACTCAAATCTCGTGTACATATCTGCCCCGGTATTACAAAATAAAAGGCAAAGGCGTGACTAGCCGAAAATAACAGCGTGACTAACCGAGGCGTAGTATATAATCACAATCGCTTTATTTCTTGTCCTTGTATGATGTCATGTTTAGTGCAGTATATTTCCCACCCTATTTTTAATCGAAAATTTTTCTTCTGTTCTGAACCTATTGAATCAATGAAGAGAAAAAAATCCCCGGATGAAAACTTGTTCATAAAAGGTCAAATATTTCGACATTAAGAGGTTCTTCAGAAAATAAAACACCGTTTAACATGCCGCAATTTTAATAATATATTCATTTTTCTTTTAATTAAATATTTCTTTGTCGCCATATTTATTACAAAGTTTCGGCCTTTCAGTATCCGTCTATATTTCTGTGATGAGGTATTATGTACACTATTTACATTATTCGGACTATTGTCCTCATCTTTGTCCCCATATTTATTACAATGTTTCGGCCGTTGTACGCTCCGGCCTTCTTCAGGTGGTTGGAATGTCCGACTGAACCCTTTATTTCGCTCACTAGGATAGATTGTTCTAGTTCCACGAGCCATGTTTAATGGATGTCAGTTATCAGTTATTTCCTGTTAATTTCCCTCTGAAAGTTTTCCACTGCCTTAGCCGGGTATTGCACTCACACTCTTTTGGTCCTGTCACTGTATCTAACTAACGCCTTTATCCACTGTACCACGTGTCCTTGTCTATTTGACTGTTATATTTAACAGCCCCACCACGAGGGATGTATGTGGCACAAAGCCGAGTTTACCGTGGGTTTTCCGAGCCCGTAGGCTCGGCCTAAAATATCCCCTTAGAACCCGTATAAACGTATTCAGGGCCTGTCTACCTCCCCGGACAAAACTGTGCCCAGCGGCAAAGCCCCTTCCGGGTTCCTCTCTGCTCAAGGCAGAGAGTTCGACAGTAATGGACAATCTATTTGACTGTTATATTTAACAGTCCCCCGCCACAAGGAATGTATGTAGCACAAGGCTGAGTTTAACGTGGGTTTCTCCGAGCCTGTAGGCTCGGCCAAAAATATTCCCTTTGAACCCGCCTAGACGGGTTCAGAGACTGTCTACCCCCCCCCCGGACGAAACTTTGCCCTTCGGCAAAGCTTCGTTCGAGTTCCTCTCTGCCGAGGCAGAGAGTTTGACAGTTGAACAATCTATGCGACTGTTCCCCAAGGCCTTCTCTCCTACTAATCTTATAGTAGGCGAAAGAGTCCAACACAGATTCTTTAGAGGGAGGACACCAGAACAAATATAAAGCTCAAAGCATAAAATGTGAAAACTTGTTAACTCATTACTCTTTTTACAAGTAATCTTATAGCCTATAAAAAGATCTTAGACTAACAAAAATTACGTACGACTGTACACAGCTTCAATGTTGAATATATTTTTTGAACAAAAATACGTGTCTTGTAAATGAAGGTATTTTATGTTTACATGATAATGTAAATCGGTTTACTGATGTTAGAGAAACGGTCTGCTTCATGGAAGATACTGTAAACTGCCAGACAATATACGTTCATTTGACGCCAATTGGCGAAGAGAAGCGAGATAAA